TTCAGAAACAACAAATAATAGGTCTAATTGTACTGTTATCAAAGTCCACATTAAATCACTACCAACGTAATTATGGGTAGAATTAAGTCCTAAAAAGGAAAAAGTTTTCCTTACTTTTCCATTTTAAATTGTGTTTATGTTCAATTTAGAAATAATCTTTTCTACATCAGAGCCAAAAAGAGACTCTTTTCTTTCAAGATTAACATTTAAAAGGAAGTGCTATAGGTCGTCCTATATTCCAATATAGTGCAAGGAAAATATAACTGTCCAGAGAAATAGTAATATGAAGAGCTACAAATGTGCATGTTTCCTGGGTTTAACAATCCAACTTTAACCAACACAAAACATAAACAGGCAGACAGATCACCTCATTAGCATAGTTCAAAATTTGAAGACTTTTTTCACCAGTTAAATTATTTTGACAAGATTCACAACTCCATTTTGGAAATAATCAACAAGTAAGAAATATGACTCACAAAGTTTGACTTCCAAAGTAAAGAGTAATGGTGTCACATAAGCTCAGGAAAAAAATTAGGAGAAGATCTCATCTCTCCCTTTTCCTCCACCTACCTCCACCCATCTGAACCTCTCCTGGTACCACTTAAGGGCCTTTCCTCTCGTCCTTTCACTTGAGGCGTGGCAGAAGAGACTGCCCCCCTTCCCATCCCACTCCCCCCAAAGCCTTACTACCACCAGGTACTTCTAGAGAGCAATGATGTTCTCCTTTAGCCTCCTATTCTTCAGGTTAAACAACTCCAGTTCCCTCAATCATTTCTCACAAGGCATGTTTTCTAGACCTTTTATCAGCTTCAAGCTTTCCCTTCAAGCTTTTCTTCTTTAGGCTAATTAATACCAGTGACATCAACTTTTCCTCAGTTGTCGAAATGTTCTATAGCTGATGCCTACCTACATTTACAGTGAACAATAGGGTGGAATTTTGCATATATTTCCTTATTAATCTTTGTTTCTAGTGTTTTTCTTACATCTGTCATAATCTCTTTGATTTCAGTCCTGTCCTCCAGCATTCCTACAGTCTTTCCTGATCTGCCTTTACCTAGAAATTTAGTACAACAGAAAGCAAGTCAGAGATAAATCTGGTTAAATGAGATCCAAGACAGAACCATGACTACCATCAGTCAATACATTTCAGTTTTATACCAGTAATTAGCAACTCTTCTCTGTTTCTCTCACTTGCTTACAAGGCTTAAAACAGAATAGGTCTGGAGTTCAAAATATGTGGCAACTGTTTCTTCTCTAAAAAATTGTAGCCTTATCCTGAAAACAAATTAAATTAACTTGGCATAACTTGTTCTTGACAAACCATGTTGATATTACTTATGTCCTTGTTATTGCTATACACAAAAAACATTTTTTTCAGTTGTCTGGAAAAGAGTCTTATCTGAACTTTCTAGTGTAATGGGCCATGGGAGGTGCCTTCAAACCTTGTTACTCTACAATTTTCTTATTATGTTACATTAATCAACAGCTAATGACAAACACAAAGTTAAGCACATGTGAAATGCATGCTCAGCTCATGGACCATTTAACATTACCTTACAGCAATCTTACATACATTTTTTATTGTTGTTTTCCTAATAATACACAGTGTTTCTTAGAAAATGTCCCTTATTTTTTGGTTCCATATCACATACAATATGGGATGCAGAGATTTGAAATTACTTGCTTAACTAGAATGAATCACTGGTCATATATCATATTGTTATGTGAAGGATAGGACTTCATCTCACCTAATTACAGAATTTTAAGAATGTGGCAGCCAGGCTCCCTCTATAGGCACTGGAGAGAGAGGCCCCACTGAAACGATTTGTCATGTTTCGATTTAAGCCTCAATTGTTCCTCTCCACTGACCAGAGAAGTAATTTTTATATGATGTTTGATGAAAATGTCAGAGAAATGAATGCCAAGATGTAATGTGAAAGGTAGTACTTATCTCAGCTGATAAAAGATGGAACTAGATATACCATTTAGACATTCGTAGCCTTCATGTTTCATTTTGAGGGAATTTGCAATGCTTCAAAAAGTTTCATGAAACTTGTAAAAATATCCTTTTAACAAGGTAAAACTGCAGATAATCTTGAAATAGAATGAAGATAATAATTTTGATAATTCAATAAGGATATCAGATGTGATATCAATACATAAAACATTCAGAAAACTGACACAAAATTCCTCACTATTTATTGGAAATATTTGTGTGTTTTCAGTACCCTTATTTAGAAATTTATTCTTAGGCTTTCAATTCAAATTTTTATTTTCATTCATAATTTTGTGTTTTGCAAGATCTGTCCCTAGTCAAAAGAAGTCTGACCTTGAAATGCCTACATTAGTAAAGTTAAATATACATTGTTTTATACATTACTGTTAAAAGATGTGTCTGTGCTCCTTAAAGGGTTTCACAGTTATTTCATTGCTATGGCATGAAGAATTAAAATACCCTTCATCTTCTCCATGGCATCACTCTTTTGTGTTCGATAATAATCTGAAGCATTTCTGAGGGAATCATGAATGATACTATTAATCATGACTTGCAATTGTCTCCACCACACTGCCATGTTGCATTCCAGAAACTAAACAAGAGAGAAAATAATGTTAACAAAGTTGTTCGTTTTGGACAAGAAACAGGACTTCCTTTTAAGAGTGTTGGCATAACACAGCTGTTTAGAGCATAACTTGTTAGGGTTGCCAGGGTTGGAAATACAGGAAATTCTGCTAAAATGAATATTGTAGTACCATGTTTTTTTAAAAAATATAGTGCATTTGAATCTACTGCTTTAGAAAACTTCTTCCTAGAGGGGAATGTGGGAGTCTTGAAATGCCCCACTAGAGTTTGATTCCAGATTCCCTTGAGATACTGTGCCAGACTCCTCTGTTCCTTCTCTTTGATGCATTTGGTTTTGTAAAACTTGCAGCATATTATTAATAAATTATATAAAGTAAGAAATGGGGGGGAAAAGCTATTAAAACATTAATGCCACATCAAACTTACACATTAAGTAGATAGAAATAAGTAAGTTCTGCTTACAGTAATTTTTTAAAGTTTTCTTACCAGAAGAAGTTTGAGAGAAATTTTCTAACAAGCAGTGCTGTATTTGAATCAAGAGTTTCTGGTAACTTTAGTTATCTGCTTTCCTTAGTTTTTTGAACATTTGCCAGTCTGTAGCCTGCATCATGTTACTTAGAGAATACAAATAGAAATGTCACCCAATTATATGATATACACAAGACTGGTTTCTGAAATTCGTAACAGAAAATTCTTAAATGGAATAGTCTTCAAACTATATTTAGATACAATTTATTCAGTTTTGCTGATCTTTGGTAAAATTGAGCCAAAATCCACAGCAGTAAAATCTATCCCTCTGATATGTGTTGGATATTTTGATTTTCACGTCTATTAAGGACTTGATTCTCTTGTGCAGTTGTTTCCACCTATGCAAAGTAGATACCAACTGCTATCACTTTGATTAGGAAGTCCTTTGCACAAGAGGCACACCAGAAGAAAGTAGATAGATTACTAGGATGAGGTCTGTTCAAGTAAATGAAACCCCTCTTGGAGTAGGAAACTATTTGCTATGGCTAAAAGTATCAAAATGTAGTTCACGCTGGCTTTTTTTTTTTCTCTTTTCTGTGCAGGTTTATGATTACTTTGCATCCCCAGACCATCCCAGCTGGAGATTATAGACAAACGTGGACTACATTTTTACAAATGTTGTTACCACACAAGATATAATCCATCACAGGAATGTATTATCAATTATTCCTTCAAAGACTCTTTGACCCAGTTTTCTAGCTTTTCTCATAACCTTAACTCTCATAAAGATAGTTATAGATAGTTATAGATAGTTATAACTAATTATTTCATTTGGTCCAATGGAAGATTAACTTTGCCACTAAAAATTACCTTTTTTTTTCTGAATGAACGTTAATTGAATGAGATAAATAAATAAAAGTAAGTCACTGATTTAATGATCTTATATTTAGGCTGTTGCCTTGGTGGATGTACAATGTCTTGCAACTGACACGTTTCAAAATTTCATTTTGAAAGCTGGTAGCTGAATAAAAAGATGGATCTTCTGTTTGCCTAGAACAGACAAAATAGTGTACGTTATCTGGACAACATATTTACCAGCAGCATAGCTAAACAATTTAGTGCTGATATTTCATATCTATGACTTCTAAATTAGCTTTAAAAAGCATCTAAAATTTAGTAGCCATAAGATTTGTCTTTGTGTGGTAGTGGCTACTCTCCCCCTGTTTTCTAGACACTATCTGAAGACATTGTTTATCTCAACACCTTTCTCTAAGGAAGAGTACTTTTTTAAAAGAGTGGAGTTATCTATGATGTTGAGCACCCAAAAACAGAGTTCTAATATAAAAAAGAGAAAAGAGAAATTATCAGCTATTTCTCAGTACAGCCAATGCTTACTTTTTTAGAAGCACTAACTCTTCTATGTGAAAAAAGGGTGAAACATATCACACCCAAGAGGGTTAAGGTTTTAAGACAATAAATTACTTGAGGAGCATTTGATCGTGAAGTTTTTAAACAAAAAAAGGGTTAGGACACCATTAATATCTGTTTCCACAATTTTGTTAGATTTTTTTCTTTATACTTTTATTAAACAATCTTTCCCTTTCTTACTTGAGTAGCAAGAGGATGGAAAAGAAGTTAGCTTGTGATAGAGGCTGTAAGAGAAGACCTGTGAGTTATAATACATTAAGAATGCAAAAACCATTCAAGCTTGCAATAAGGTTATTCCATATTCAAGAAGTACTTTTACCTGAATGCTCTCACCTAAACAACTCATATGCTGTGAAGGAGAGAAACTTTTTTCCTGGTTGTCTTTGCAGGTTTTTAGGAGGAATACCAAAGCAAAACTTATTCCATTTGACAGTGTCTTAAACAGCATTCAGAATCTTTACTACCTGCATACTTTGGAAGATTTGAACAAGTAAATCAATCCTCTGTTTTCTTTTTTTTCCAGAGTAACAAAAAAAACCCCTTTAAATACACACTTCTTCGTGGGACCTGTTTCTGTGGAAGATTTCGTCTATCAAACCTCACCAATTTAAAAGGTCTTTTAAAATTAAGTCAGAAGTTTGGAATTGAAAACAAATGGCATAAATTCCCTATTTTGCTTAAATAAATAAATAAAAGTCTTTTTAAAAAGTGACTAATGTTACAGGCCTGTACATGTTTGTGTTTAGTGTTAAATCTGTCCCATTGAAATAACTGATGTTCTCAATAAAGAAATGAGTTTAGACAACAGTTACAGAAAGTTGGAAACAAGAAGATTGAACAAGAACTACTGTCCAAGTCATGTAAACAAAACTATGAAATATATTGGTCAACTTAAGTGGGGATGGTATATAAGCAAAATTTTTTGTGTTAGTGTGGAAATAACAATAAAAGGAAACATTTTAGAATGGCCTCTACAATTTTTCTCATGCTTATTTTCATAATTACTCATGTTTACCAGATAAAACTACATGTACAAATGAGGAATGAAATCCTTTTGAAACCTTTCTCACACCCTTAAGAATCAGGTTGCCCTACTCCAAACAATTGTAGCAAGTCTTAAACCTAAATAGCTGCTTATTTTCATGACCTTGCATGCATTTTTAGAAATTGTTTTGACAATAATTTCTAAATACGAAATAGACAAATAAATGAAAAAAAAACCACATGAAAAATACAATAAATTGTTCCTTCTGTAAAAAAAAAATAAAATAAAATAACTGAACTGCTCCCTACAATTAGTAATTAGTTATTCTGAGTGATTGTTAGAAAGCTGAAGGAAAGCTGAATGAACGTAGGAGGCACACGGTAATCTTATAAGCAATCTGCATATGATATCATTCCACTGTGACAGAATTACCATGCAGGAATATAACCCAGCACTGAGAAATCATGTGTGTCTACAGAGTGCACTGTGAAGCAGGATGGCCACACTAGACAGAACTTGCAGCAAAGGTGAGAACTTATTTCTAATGAGAACTAATCAGCCTGCAGAGGGTGCTGCAACAATTCAACTATCCTACCTCTGCAGCAGGTTATTCTGAGGCATCCCTGTAATAGCACAGGCAATAGAGGCAGCTGGGGGAGGCAGACATTTTTGCAGCAGTCACTGGGTTCTCCTTCAGGAAGAGGAAGGGTCTGATATGAACCTCATGAAGGTCAACAAGAGCAAGTGCAAAGTCTTACACCTGGGGAAGAACAACCTGGGTGCTAATGATGGGGGCCACCTAGCTGGAAAGCAGTTTGGCAGAAAAGGTCCTGGGAATCCTGGTGGATGTGAGTTGAACATGTCCCAGCAATGTGCCCCAGCTGGGAAGAAGGAATATGGTATCTTGGGCTGCGTTAGACAAAGTATTGACAGCAGGTGGAGAACGATGATCCTGCCTCTCTGCTCAGCACTGGTGATGCCAAGCCTAGAGTGCTGTGTACAGTGCTGGGCTCCACAATGCAAGAGAAACAGACATTCTAGAGACAGTCCAAAAAAAGGCCCCAAATATGATTAAGGGACTGGAGCATCTCTCCTATGAAGAAAGGCTGAGAGACCTGGAACGTTTCAGCCTGGAATAAAGAAATTTCAAGGGGGATCTCATCAGTGTATATAAACACCTGAAGGGAGGGCGCAAGAAGGATGGAGCCAGAGGCAATGGGCACCCACCAGAGGTTCCCTCTGAACATCAGGGAACACTTTTTTACTATGATGGTGACTGAGCACTGGTGCAGGTTGCACCAAGAGCTTGTGAAGTCACCCTCCATGGAGATATTCAAAAGCCATCTGGACATGGTCATGGATAATCAGGTGGCCCTGCTTGTGCACAGAGGTTGGACCAGATGACTTCCAGAGGTGCATTCCAACCTCAACCAATCTGTGCTTTAGTGAATCTTTTAGAAAATCTTCTAATTTTTATACAAATGTGTAACTTCAAAAGTAAGCCTACTGCATCCATTTGAACATATTAAAATGTCAATTTCTGATTGCTTCTCATTCATTTTTCCAGATCTGCCAGAGTTGTGGACTGTATATCATTATCAAAGTCTAAAGTTTGATCTGGATTTAAGGACAAGAACGTAACTCCACAGATAAAACTATCTAAGTTTCCACATGCTGTGAGAATTAAAATTCAAGTTTTGTTTTCTGGATTAGTTATTTCTTTTTAAACATTAACTATTGCTTCAGTTAGCACAGCTCTTTGATGCAGGTTTTGCTATAGGCTAAGTAAAGTAATTTGCATCGTATTTTCAGGCTCAAAACGCTTTCTTTTTATTATCATAAGGTTTTATAACTTTAAAAATATATACAAAAATTTATTTTGATGAACTTTTTAAAAGAAATATCTAATTAGGACAAGCAAAAATCAAGATTCAAAATGAGATTTCTTGGCTTTTTTTCAGATGAAGCACTCAAACTCTTTTACTTAATTTCACAAGACTTTCCTGTCAAATTTTGTCACAATGTGCTACTCTTCCTCTGTCCCCTAGTATCTACTTGTGTTCCATCTAACACCACAAGATAAGTCAATTTGATTGTAAAGATGAAATGGTAAATGGATCCCAAATATAAAACCTTTCTTCATCCAGTGCCTTTTCTAATGAAAAGCAAAATAAATAAATACCATGTGTTTTCATTAATAGAAAATATTATTACTATTGCATTCATTTGCAATTTCAACAGAAAGATAGAAAATAGCCTGCTCACATACAGGAATGCCTGTAGTATGATGCCTTCGTTTTTTTATTACTTTCCCACTTCAAATTTGTCTGTGATAGGAAATCTCTTCTGATTCTTTTTTCTTCAATGTGTAAAATCAGGCTCTATTTCTGGGTCACTGGCTCCCTTTTATTTCCTCAATCTACCTTTATTTTCCTTCTAACTTCATCTTTCTGTGTCTGGTATGTTCTAATTTTTAAAACCATATGGTTCTTTACCCTTCAATGATTGAGAAGGGCATAAGAAACACTAAAAACATGCTCTGTTGTTGCAGAAACAAGGAAGAAAGAAAAGGGGAATGTAACTATGGTATCACTTTTCTTCCTTGATTACAGTAAAAAATTGAAAATATAAATAAATATAATCACCTGTAAAGAGGGAAAAGACGGAAAATTAAATGTCCCTTATTTTTATTTCTTTCTGTTCTGGGTAGGGAATAGTCTGCAGTATTAGACCTACAGCTGTTTCCTGCATTTGCTTCCCAGAAGACTGTAACACTTTTTGTCTCATCAATTTAACATACTATCCAACTTATGAACAGTCAGCACTTAGTTTTACTTTTTCAAAAACATTTTCCTAAGTGGTGTCTAGTGTTGATATACATTTTAGATCAGCTGTGACATCTCTGCTTATGGCTGCAGGGCCAAAGTCGAGGCATGTATAAAGTCTGAGCAATTGTGCTTTGTGACCGAATGTAGGGAAGAGTTGAAAAGGTGAAATTCTGTATCCAAATTAGGTTTAAAGTGTGAGTCTGTGATACAGCAGTGCTTTCATCCATTCAACCCTATCACCCCTATGAATCCCCTGTTGTTAGTCTGGCATTGTGAATTGTGCACAAAGCCTAACCTCCATTACATTACAGATCCCAAATTAGGTTCACATGACCTGAGGAGGTGCTAGTCAGCTCTTTGCACCAAGCAATGAAGTTCAAGCCACCCATGTACAATCTAATTATTCAGGATGTACAGGGCAACTCGTCTGAATAAGGATGTCTGTTGAGAGCTGGATTATTCTGAGCAGGACTATTAGATTACCTCTCCGGACTGAAATCTTTCTACATAATAAAATGCCAAGAATATCTAGGGACCTACAGTAATAATTTGATTAGTTTAGTCAGCTTTAACGTTGCTATTTTTTGCATTCAAATTATGTTTTACTCCCCAACATATTATGTATGACCCACATTTTAACAGGCTAGTTTCTCTTAAAGACATGTTGGACGTTGAAAAAAAGCACAGATATACAAACTAATGCATGTATGAAACAACTTGCATAAAGGACAAGAAGCATACTATCCCCAGCATCTCAGTGCTGATTTGGACATCAAAAATAAAGCTGACCTGATTTTCACCAATTTAACAAGGAGATGACTATTTTTAAAATCCAGTAGAAGCAGTAAGATATGCTGCCTGTACTACAAGCGTAAATAAAAATGTTTTTCACACATTAGTAATGCAAAATAAAGCACAAACCTCACTTAATAACACTATCCAGCAGCAGGAGTGGAATTGTATTAGAGCTTTCTTGCATTGCCAGTGTTCTCCACAGGCATCTCAAAAACTCCTGTACAAGAAATGAACCTGCTCCTACCTTGCTTCCCAGATACTGGGGTTTTTGAGTAGGAGACCATAAAACAGGAACTCTAGCTACTTTATACTGACAGTAAAATCAGAAGAGAGAACAAATAAAGTTTTTGCTTACAAAAAGCAGTGAAAAGCCATCTTCTTGTGCAGGTGAATGGGATTTAAAAGTCATCCAGTCATATCTATTTAAGGACTGATCTAAAAGACAAATTAAGTACAAGGGACTGAGTAGGAAAAGAAGTAACTTGCTAGTAGTATATGACATGTGGGTTTTCCATCAATTTAACTATTTTAAATAAATACAGTGTTAACCTTTTTTAGAAGATCAGTAACCTAAAGAATATGAATTAACTAAACTTTAGATGAATTGCAGTAATTAGAGCAACAGAAACCATTTAAAAAGAGTTTATAAACTCTCAGGAAGCATATTTAAATACTACTCTTTTCTAATTGCAATTACCAAATTTGTGTACTCAGGCCTGCATTGTTAATTAATTTAAATAATCCTTAGACCAGTTTATTGAAACACTACCTGACTTTCCTTTGAGTGAAGAGTGGGCTAATTTGGAATCACTAAAAAATTCCTCAGCTAAGTTGGTTGCTCATATTTTATAGTCCGTACATGTCTAATTCCCCCTGACATCTTACAAGCTACAGTACACTTGATAACGAGCCAACACAATAACCCTCTTGAAGATTTCCAAGATATATTCTTTAGACAGAAACTTTATATCAATAATTCATACCTAGAATAATTTATGTACCATGAAAATGAATACGACTTCAGCTGAAATCAAATGTTAAGCCATCTGAAGAAGAGGTGTGTAATTTCGATGTTTCTATTACTATTCAGCAAAATAAAATATGTACTCAATGACAAACGTGAAGGCTCTGAAAAGATTTAAAAATAGCAATTTGGATTTAGTTTCTTTTCATGGTCTTTGAGAAGGAAAAGGTCTATGTTGACTGGAGAAAGGCAAATGTCACAGTCTCCTTCGAAAAAGGCCAGAAGGTTAAGCCCAGAACTATAGGGTGGTCAGACTTATTCCAGTTTCTGGAACAATCATGGACTGAGTCCTCTTGGAGCATATTTTTGGGC